GTGGGACAAATATAAAGAGTACATGGCGGAAGATATTTTGCGAAGGTTACAGCAGACACACGCGAACATGACATACTGTTACGAGCTTTGGGTTCGTGACAATAAAAATTGCCGATAGAATTCCAAAATTGACTCTTTAATTCACTTTACACTAATTAAAGTTAAAACACTAATAATTAATCACACTGATTCACTTTATTCCGCTCCGAAGCTTCGCTTGTCTCGCCAAATTCAATACTTCCCAATCGCGTATTGCAGCGCCTTTATATAGGGCTCTTCCACGAAAACATCCAGAATATTCCAGAATATTCGAGCAAATACGCGCGCCAACCGATCAAGCGCAGAAAGTTCGAGTTTGGGGCTTCCAGAAAGCTTAGTTCTTCAATTCGATACTAGATGGCGCTGTCGGTTGAAAGATTAGTGATGACATTTTCTGGAAAGCTCTCTCTTCGCTCTGTTACCCGACACTAGATGGCACTATTGCCAGATGTCAACTTAGCCGCGCAACAATACAATGAACATATTTATAATGAAGCACTTGGAAAATTTTAAGATAAAGTAATGGCAATGGTAGGCAAATAATTAAGCGATTTTGGATTGATAAGCCCTTCAGCGAACAACCGAAAATGAACTAAGTGATGAAATTATACGTGAAACAAACTACGATATACCAGCTTTGCAGCAGCAAGTAGCCGAATTTGTACCCCGCTTGCTTCCCCAACAAAAACGAGTTTTTGACAAAGTATTAGGACAAATTGAATCTGTAAATGATGCACTTTTCTTTTAAGATGCCCCTGGAGGAACTGTGAAGACATTTTTGTTAAATTTATTATTAGCGCAAGTACGGAAAGATAAAAACATTGCTGTGGCCGTAGCTTCCTCCGGTATAGCCGCCACGCTGCTAAGCGGGGGCCGCACTGCACATTTTGTTTTAAAACTCCCTCTAAATCTAGCCCAGGAAGAATCGCCGATCTGCAACTTTAGCAAAAATAGTGCACGAGGTATAATGCTACGACAATGCAAACTTTTGGTGTGGGACGAAAGTACAATGTCGCATAAAAAAGCTGTAGAAACACTAAATCGAACGCTCCAGGATTTGCGCAGCAATCTGATTTTCGCCAAACTTTACCTGTCATTCAAAAGGGCACACCTGCAGGTGAAATTAAAGCATGCCTCAAGTCGTCTATTTTATGGAACAAGGTGACAATATTCAGTTTAACTACGAATATGATAGTGCATTTGTAATGATATCAATGCTGACACACTATTAAAAATTGGCGATGGGCGGTTGGAAACGGATGCTGAGGGCTGCGTTAAATTGACGAGAGATTTTTGTAATTTAGTACAGAGTCATTCCGAATTAATTGCGAGCGTTTATTCAGATTTAACGAACAACATGCATGAAGACAAATGGTTATGTGAAAGGGCGATTCTTGCACCAAAAAATGAGAGCGCTAACAAAATAAATTTAGATATATTAAGCGAAGTAGCAGGAGAAATAACAGAGTATTTGTCAGTAGACACAGTTGTGGACACAGAATAGAGCACCTCATTTCCCGCAGAGTTTCTAAATTCTCTAGAGTTGTCACGTGTGCCCTCACATAAGCTTCAATTAAAATTAGGCGTCCCAGTCATGCTAATGCGAAATTTAGATGCTGCTCGGTTATGTAACGGGACAAGGCTGCGTGTGACACATCTTGGACGGAACTTAATCGGTGCTACAATTTTGACAGGCGTAGGAAAAGGTGAAAATGTTATTGTACCACGGATCCCTATAATTCTCACAGATTTTCCTTTTCATTTCAAAAGGTTGCAGTTCCCTATTAAGCTCAGTTTTGCAATGACAATTAATAAAGCGCAAGGGCAAACGTTACAAGTAGCGGGGTCAACTCAGAAAAACCGTGCTTCTCTCATGGTCAGCTGTATTTAGCATGTTCGCGTGTGTCTAATGCCCAGAATCTCCACATTCTTTCCCCGAATGGAAAAACATATAACATTGTGTACAGTAGCGCCTTAAAATAGTGTTCAGTTAGTTTTTTTCTAAAATTCCCACAATCAATTAATCAGAATATCCCACAGATCTTCCCTTTCAATCCAAATGCTGCACCTCTGACGAACCTATTAAGCTCAGTTTCCTTTCAACTCAAAAGGCTGCATCTCTGACGGATCTTTTATTTTTGCTCAGTTCCCTTTCAATTCAGAAAACTGCATCTATGACGAATTAAATTTAGCTCAGTTTCTTTTCAAAAGTCTGCATCCCTGACGGATAATTATGCTCAGTTTCCTTTAATTAAAAAAATATCCCATTTCCATTTGGAATAAACAGGCTATTTTCATGCTTTCCTATACACTGCGTTTCAAAACATTTAAATAGGCTGACGAATCAATTTTGCTCAGTTTCCTTTTAATGGCTGTAAACTTAATCTCTGACAAATCTATAAAACTCAGTTTTCTTTCAATTCAAAAAGCATTGGATAGTTCAATTCCCAGTGACCATGTGGGCGAAGCCGCGGGTAACAGCTAGTAAATAAATAACTAAGAATATACCAAACTAACACATGCATAGATTATAAGTAATGTTAATTTACAGGAAATAAAAGGCTTTTTATTTTTATTTATTTTATTTTATTTATATACAGCATATAACAACAAAGAACAAAGAATCTACTGGAGTTTGCCTCATCATCATCATCATTACAGCAGTTCACAAGTCATCTGAATGTAATGCTGAACATAGGCCTCCACCAAGTTATGCCACAAAGCACGGTCCTGAGCCACCTGCATCCACCGATTTCCTGTGTGTCTTGATAGGTCATCACTTCATCTTTTGGGGGAACGCCCATATTGCCTCCTAGGGAGATATTTGCCATAGCTGCGTCGTAGGCGAGTTGATAATAGCGATATTTTTGGATTCATATTATTGATTTTACAAGCCTATACATACTAACATACTATACTACGTAGATTTTGATTACAGATCACAGTAGACGTGTTAGGTGGTTTCACAAAGATTAAATATTAACATTTATAATTGCTTGACTGAAAACTGGCAATAAATAAAATATAATTTTATAGGCTGTAAGTGTGATTATAGCGTAGACAGAGAAACCTATAGTCAAATTGACGCCTTCTTTCGCATTCGCACACGAAAAAGATAAATTTATGCATACGTCTTGAAAAGAAATGAGACAGAGCGGTGTGATTGTTTGTCCCTTTCTCCGTGCCGGTTTTTTTGTTTAGCAAACTACACTTTGCTAAACAACTTTGACAGTTCGTAGAGATCTAAGGAGTTTACAAGCTGATTTAAGTGAGAAAAAAGTGTTTTGTGAGCTTACGATTGGTGAATCTTGTACAGTTCAGTTCTTAGAACAATTAAATTTTTTATCTAAATATATTTAAAAGTCATAAAGATTATTGTATAACCTAAAACCACGTTATTGTCCTTTCTCACTCGAGATCACGCTAATCATTAGTCTGTAGGTTTCTCTGTCTACGCATTTCTACTACATGCCATTCTTACATTCGGTAGAATCCACTAGTTAGTCTGTGATTCTTACTGTAGACTAACGGTGGTTAATATAGAGCATAGCGTCATATTATAGCGCGCTATCTCTTCATAGCGCATAGCGCGTGCTATGTAAGTAGTCGCCACGGCGCTATGACGCTATTCATACCTAGCGGCAACTAGTTCTAGTAGCAGTTTGTTTTATTTTAATCTAAAATGCGATTTATTACGAAATAATATTCCTATAGAACATGGTCTATCTAATGAACGACATGTAATGTAACGTGCTACGAGATATAGCGTTCTGCTAAACTTAACGCGTTTGCCGGCCTCCTACATGCTTTCTTATAAATAGCGCGCTATAATATAGCGTATTAAATAGCGTGCTAGAAATTTATAGTTTATAGTCTGTAGCGTTGCCACGGTAGTAATTTTGTCACTAGATTTAGTGAATTTTTGAAGTTAGATAGTAATATTTTGAAAAAAAATCACTAAAAAGTTATTTGATGACTTTCAGTGATATTTATCGAATCTAAAAGAATTTAGAAAAAATATATTGGCAATCTTCTTTACCTGTCGACGAATTCCCCAGTTTGTGTCAAAATAGCACTATTCTTTTTCCGCATAACAAATACGTAATTAGACGCCTGTATTAGGTTATGCTAACCTACCTTGGGGATTTCCCAACTAATAATGAGAACCTAACACTTATGTAAAGTTTGTTTCAGAGGATGTTGAATACTATTTCTTGTATTTAATTAGTTGCCAGTCTTCGTTCGCAAAAGTAGTTCATAATACGATGTGTTGTTTTAGTATTGAAATCATTCTATTTCGAATGTTTTTGTGAAGTGTCTATTATTTATTTGTATCCGCATTTCTAGCATTAGAACTATTGAGAAACACGATCACGTGTAATTTTTACTGCCTTGGTAAACTGTTTGCACGGTCTTCTTATAGAAAACTTAATTGAAATTGGGGTGGATAATGACCATGACTCGAATCAATAATCGCATACCTAATTTATTTTTATTCAAGTGTTTACTACTAGTGACAATTAGCTGTTGCAACACACATGAGTCAGAGCAAACGTTACCACGAAATATAGATTTTCCTTGTATTGGTTCTCACATTCACCCAAACGCTGCGATGAGTATAAAGATATATACTTATGAGACAGTAAATTGTGGCGAGAATCCTTTAAAAACATTGCGCTCTTGTGATACTCGTTGGCTGTTCGTTAAAGAAACTGTGACCAGGATACTGTCTCGATTTTTTGTGTTACGTTTTTTGTCATAACTTTCACTGTTAAAATAGTATTTTTATTACTTAGCTTGTGATTTGATTTTAAATAATTTGGTGAATTCCAAGGATTTTTTAGTTAAAAATATCCCAAAATCTGGTGACATTTCAGACCATAACTAGTGATAAATTTTTCAGCAAGGTGGCAACACTGTCTGTGCGATTTTTCATTTGTCTATGAAAATATTGAGGCGAAATGGCTGCTGCGAATATTGTTCGTAGTGCATTTAATGGATTATTACGAAAATCCACATCTTACAGAATTCCGGTTGTTTGCCGGTTATCTACCGTAGCTACGGTACAAAAATTTTATGCGGTAAAAGCCATTACTAAGTTGAGCTACCAAGTTCAAAATGGGGTAAGAACCATTATCAATCAATACAATTAATTTTCTCTCTTTTTATTTCGTTTTAATTCTTCTTAATATGCTAAAAAGCTTTTCCCAAATGGTATTTATAAACAATCCTTTATTTGTTCATTCAATTGTAACTATAGTATAACCTCAATCTTGTTGCATAACGAATGTGTACATTATTGCTAAAATTGTTTAGGTATATGCACAGAACACACGACAGTACTCGTCCGGCGCGCAATCTAAGCCCTCACCGCAGCAAATTGAAGAAAGAGTGATGAAAGTGTGCAGGGCTTACGACAAACTGAGTGGTACTAAGGTACTGAGCTATTCTTCAATTTTGTTTCAGAACCCGAAATTCTGCGTCCGCAACTACAGCGGTGGTCCACCACTCACCCTAGAGCTTATTAAAAGTAGGGTACTGCTTGTACTCCAACTATATGACAAAATTAACCCCGACAAGGTAGCTTATTTCTACCCTTTTTTTAACATTTATTAGAGGGTTGATGCATTAGATTATATTCAAAGAAATGTAGATATAACTTCATAGATACCAGCCAGTATACATTTTGTCATAGATGACTTGTCAAAAGATGTACTTTTAAATATAATTTTGCATTGAAATATGATGTAGTTTTATATGAAAATTATATTGTAGATTTATTATAAAATATAAAAGAAATATTTTGCATATCTTTAACAATTAGAGGTGTTTTAAAAAATATGAAATAAGTGTAAAATATAAAGAATTAAAAAGAAACACTCTTAAGACCATTGCCAAGTACACCGTTACAATGAAGTTGTAAATTTAAAGTATAATTACATATAATATACTACTACTACTGTATATGTCCCATAGCTGGTCACTGAACTGCTATCATTTCTGAGAGGGTTTTGGGGCTCAGTTGTCTTTGCATTGCTCCAATACCTGTTCAGACTACAAATCTTTGAATTTTTTTTTTGTACAAAAATAATAGAAAGTTGAAACTAAAAGGTAATGGCAGCTAATTATGTTTATTTCTTTTTCAGCTATCTGTAGATTCCCATTTCATGAATGATTTGGGACTTGATTCTCTTGATCATGTTGAGGTCATTATGGCAATGGAAGATGAATTTGGTTTCGAAATTCCTGACAGTGATGCGGAGAGGCTAGTGAGGCCAAAAGATATCATACAATATGTGGCGGACAAAGAAGATATTTACGAATAGATAAATTAGTGCAACAAATCGCAATTGCCTTAGATCAAATGTGAAAATGACTGAAATTCAATACCATAAAATAAACTATGATAGTTTCATTTGCAATTGATCTAAGACATTGTGACCGTGACTCGGTTTAGTGTTTAGTTCTGGTTTCTTTTACATGTTGTTCAATGGAATAAACTATGTGAAATGAATGGCTGAACATCCATTGATGAAGATGTAAAAAGTGTAAATTCTGTTTTTATGCATTATATGCTTGTTAGAATAGATCAATTCTTTTTCATTTGATCTGTATGGCCCTGGGACTACAGTGATTGCAAATAAATATAAAAAGTTAAACTAAGTCTTATTTTATTGCATTATTGTGATACGAAAAAATTTATTTCATAAATTCTGTTCCATCACATCAGACACATTCTCAACTTGAGTACAGACTATCATTTTTTAAGTAAATCTACGATAAGGACAGACTTGTTATGGGTTGTTACACCACACCATGGGTTGACTAGCATACAGATTGGTAAGTAGATATCATGTTGGCCCCTGAAATACAATAATTGATGAAACCAAATGTAGGCACTTACTTTCAGGTGTGAAAAAACCTGAAAGTGTGAAATGGATTTTCGTTAAATTTAGATGGTTTATCCCGTCCGAGAATCATACGTAACATAAGATACCAACACTGCTGCAAACATAGACACTTGAAAAATGTTCTATGCACAAGTGTATTTATGTAAGGGCTAAATGGGCTATACCCAGGGTGGCAAAAATGTTTTTTTCCATACCAAAAAGTGAATAACATTTTACGGAAAAAAAATGTGCAGTAAAATTTTTTAGCTTATTAATTATTAAAATTGATCTATTATTATTAACATCTTTCTTAACTACCGTCAATATCGCTTTTCAATTTTTTAGGGTTCCGTAGTTAAACAAAAAGGATTTATAGTTCATTTATCTGAGTTCATCTGTGGTTTTACTCAAAGACCCTAGTTGACCCTAAGTACCTAAAAGACAAAGCTGTAATTTGGCATAATAATAGGTATTAATCACGCCTACAAGGTTTTTAAATAAAATCTCGAAAAGTATTTTTATTTTGGATACCGTCCATATAAGTAAAGGGGGGATGATTATTTTTTAGCTGTCCATTTCATTGTGTGAGGTGTTGTTGAATAGGTCTATGAAAATATTATGGGTATGGAACAGTTTTTTGATTGAGGGGTCCGTTTGCTAAATATTTAGCTTTTAAATGGTAGTTTTTAATATCCCCCCCCCTTACGTTTTTTTAGAAATGTTAAAAGTATGCATGATTAGGTGTATATCATGAAGTTAAATGAAAAAACTGACAGCTAAATAGGCTTAACAAATTAACGAGTAATAGTTGAATATCTTATAAAATGCACATTTATTAATAAAGATTTCGATACCATTCCATAGAAAATTACCAAAAACTAGCTGCATTATATCTGTAATGTTATTGTAAATTGTAAAAAATAAACAATTTTTAAGAAAACTACTATGCAGGCAGAAAAGATCTATCGCCAAGAAACCGATCCTGACATACCACATTCACTTATTTTTTAGTTGGAGGCCTACAGTTTTATTCATGGTACTCCTGGCTTACGCTGGTGACCTTCAGGATAGTTTAGGGCAGTGGAGGTTTCCCCCCGAACGTCGTGGCGGGGGAGCTTAGTAGCCGTGTCTTGGTCACCCGCGGAGAACAAAGAGGAACCCACTTAGCTAGCCCGTGGTGTAGGGTCGGCCCGAGGTGGCCACTCCGAGTGGGCTTGGTGAGCCTACTTCAGATGTATGGGTGGGCTGCGGCGAGAGCGGTGTCCTCTCTCCCCACCGCTGATGCCGAGGTAGAGTCGCGGAGGAAGGAGTGTTGGTTGGCCACAGGCCCTATCCTCCGCGACTACGCCGCTGATGCGGTGGTGGTGGGGCCACGAGGGGAGAGGAAGGTATTGCGGGACGCCGCTCTCCCTACCCTCCGTGGTCGAAACTTAATTGGCGGCGGAGACAGAGACCAGATCCGCTGCTGGAGTAACAAGTTCCCGAGCGTTCGATTTTTCTGTCCCCATGGCCTTCGTGTATCAGACTCATGGGGCCGTTACGCTGGTGGAGGAGTTGAAGTCCGTGGAGGAAGGCGTGCCTTGTGTTCCGGGCGCGCCTTGCCTGAGAATGTGATAAGGAGGAGCAGTCCGCCCCCGAGCCGCCTTGGGCGGCCGGTGCTGTTGAGGTCGCGATGTGTGCGAAAGCGTTCCCGTGGCCCTGCCATAATGCAACGAAGGTGGAACGATCATGAGGTTTCAGTCGGTGCGAGTCCAACATAACCTGTTCTTGCCCCCGCGAGGCGAGTATGCGTAGGCATTTCCCCATGTAAAAGAAAACAAAGGCCAGTGGTGGTTTACTGAATAGTTCATTACGGTCATGTATGTCTTAAGGATGCACTACCGGGAACTAATAGATAAATAGGAAACTATGTATATGTGATTTGATGTAGATTTGTGTATTATTTTAAAAATCGAAGTTTTTTTTTTAAATCTTTTTTGAATATAAGTCTTATAAGTCTGCTTGGAAAATATGCCCTTCAGTTACCATCGTCCTATTTTGGTCTATTTTAGTCGTTATAGCGGTCAAACGGCTAACTCAATTTGCTCATAGTATCAAGAAGGCCCTTTCTGACTTTCAACCATAGGTTTAAACATATTTTGACGGGCAACTACGGAACCCTACCTCTACATTCTGCGTGGCCCAACACGTACTTGATCGTTTTTTTTTTAATTTAAGTCACACTTGAGCATGAACCTGATTTAAAAATAAATGTTTTATACAGAGCATTTATCATTAAGTTAATTATTTAATTTGTTACTTTTTATGTTGGCAGTTTCTAAAATTCAGTTTTGATAAAAACCCCGTATTTAAAAACCTTAAACGTTGGTGTGACAAATATAAGGTTATTGACAACGTCAGATCGCTTAATATAAATTTGCTTTTCTAAAACAATATCCAGAGGTGTAATCACAGAAATTTAAATAATAAGGCAATAGAAGCTCAGATGAAGTAATTTTTTTTTACTTCATCTGACAATAGAAGGCGTAAAAGCGCTTGACCTTGTCGCCGCACATGTGACTCGTAGGCCACAAGCGCGCGAGGAGTGTTTGTTTGTAGGCATGTCGATTCACTCTTAAAAAAATCGATCGGAGAGGACACCTGCGCCTCCTTCAGAAAGAACAAAGCTGGCTTCGCCGTCTTGAGATGGTATAGCGTGGCAGAGGTCGCCTTGGCCTTGTCGCTCAGCTTGCCCCGAGCAGTTATTCTCTTGAGCGGAATTTTTGCCCCCCCCCCCCCCCCGAATACGCGGGGCAGCCTGAGCACCCACGCTCAGGAGTGGAGTAGCTAGGTTGTGGATGCTCATCGAGGGATTCTCCAGGTGCTGGTACCATCCTGGGATAGTCTAACATTTATTCTGCTACCATGTTGATGGGGGGAGGGGGGAGAATTGGGCCTCCAGCCACCTGCACTCATCACACGAAACACGGAAGCGGAGCTTCCACTTCATGCCGGTATTCTGTGAAGTCGTGGTACCACCCCGGCTCGAGCCGGCCAATACGTGCAACAGCAAAAGCTGCCGCGTGGCTCTACCACTGTTAAAAGGGCTGGTGCTGCAAAATGCTTACTGATAACCTTAATTCGGTTGAAATATCGCATTACGGCGAATTTGCGCTTGAATTACATAATTTAATTCTCTCTTCTCCTTTCCATCACCGGACAACCAGGCGGTCGGTGAGTCTTCACCCCTTTGTTGTCGATAATCCATCGACATTCTGTCTTTTGTAATACGTACAGCAAAAGAGTGGAATAATTTTCCAGCCTCTATCTTTCCGTCCTAATACATTCTAAGCGTCTTCAAGGCAGGAGTGAATAGGCTTTTGTTACGCTAAGACAGAACGATTTACCATCTAGGGTTACGTCACTACTTTCCATCAGGTGAGATTGTGGTCAAGCACTGACACCGGACCACTTCGGACCACACTATACATATAATAAATCTGTGGAAAAATCTTGTCTGTATTTTTAATATTTTCTGGAAAAAAACAAATTAGGGGTTTTTGTCTGTTTGTCACGCAAATGCTAAACAAGCAGCTTAACAGATTTCCATGAAACTTTGTATATTAGGTAGTTAGGGAGCCAGGGCAACTTATAGGCTTATACTTTTTATCCGATTACGGAACTTCAAAAAACTAGGGTTAAGTATTTTTTTTATTTGGTTCACAAATGGAATGTAACGTTTACATGGTACAGGTAACATAAAAAAGTAACAAACGTTCATTCTAATAACAGTGAACACAGCATGCAACAAGTGGACAAGATAACAAATACAAATAAAGAAATGAAAAGATATTCTAAAGTGATAAATATTAGTTAATTAATGGCTAATCGAAAGTTAGCCCTTGCTGAGGCCTTGGAACCATGAAAGATGTCGAACAAATCACGAATATTATTATAACTATTAGTCATTCTCTACAATGGTGAGTGATGACCTGCCACTGTTTTACAGTGTGGCGGGACAAAAGTCTTTTTGCGGTCCAAACGACTGCCTGCTCTAGGGACCGACACATCTAAATGATTTAAAATGTCGGGACAGTTGATGAGACCATGGATAATTTTATAGAGGAATATGACATCAGATGATTCCCACCGCTTGGATAGCGATTCTAATTTGTAGTGTGCCAATCTACTCTCATATAAAATGAGTGTCCTGCATTGATTGTTTGCATACGATAATTGGTACATTTTTTTAATCTTTCCCAGTCGGTTTGAGTGACACTTGTACCCCGGATACCAAACTGGGCTACCGTATTCCACAATAGTTCTCACCAAACAGTTGTAGACCGGAATGATTAAACCAGGGTTTTTAAAAGAATTTATTTGCATGGATATGAACCCGATAATTTAGAAGCTTTTTTTTGCTATGGAGTCAATATGACTTCTAAAGCTGAGCGTGCTGTCAATTAAAACGCCTAAGTCTTGAATTTCCGTGACCTCACTCAATGACTCATCGTTTAACTTGTATGTTGCCTCGGTTTTATTTTTCCTTCCAGTTAACTTTAGATGAGAACATTTTGCAGTATTGAGGATCATATGGTTTTGACAACACTAGTCGTATAATCTATTCAACTCATACTGTAGAGCGGTCACATCTAGTTTGGAGTCAATGATTTTGTACAGTTAAAGGTCGTCTGCTTACATTTTAAAATTACATTCTATTATATTAGCCAGATCGTTTATGAAAATAAGAAAGAACAATGGACCGATATGAGAACCCTGGGGAATCTCTCTAGCTAAGGATGAATAACCACGCAACGAGACCAACTGTGACCGATTTCTAAGTTAGGAATCGCACCAGCGCAGCAGTGAACCATGGTCCCCCATTAGCATGATCTTCTTTATGAGGAGGTCGTGGTTGATGAAATCGAAGGCCTTGCTAAAATCGGTGTAAATACTGTGTGAGGTACACAGTTTATTCTTATCCAGTGCCCGTGCAATATCATTAACAAAACCGGCTAAGTGAGATGTTGTAGACTTTTTAGGCTGAAATCCATGTTGGTTTGGATGCAGGCGTTCTTTGACGTGCCAATATATTGTTTTATGAATAAATGACTCTAGAATCTTACCGGGTGCTGGAAGTATGGAAACAGGTCTTTAATTGGACACTTCTAAGTATAGTACATAAGATCTCCCTTTTTATGGATGGGGATGATGCGTGCCTTTTTCCATAAGTGGGGGGAAATGCTGCTTCGGATAGAGTGGTTAAATAAATAGGCAAGAGGTTTTGACATACTCTCAGCACACTTCTTTAGAATGATCGGGGGCAAGCCATCCAATCCTGAAGCCTTGCTTCCATCCAATCCCATCAATGCTCTTTCTACCTCGTATTCGCTGACAGTGAGTGAGCTGATGGTCAGACTGGTCTCGCAACTGTGGAGAGCTGTTTTATTGATATTGGATGACTTGGTTGTCAAATTGGTGACGATGTCATCGTATATTGACTGAAAGTGCTCTGAGAATAGGTCACAAATCTCCTCGCCACCTCTGGCAGTCTTGGCACCACGAGTCATCTGAGAAAGGAGAGAATTTGTGTTTCTTTTGAGACCATTAACATAAGACCAGATGAACTTAGGGTTTGAGCGTAAATGGGAGGCTGCGTTTTTTTTTTAAGTTAGAAAAACAACTTTTGATCATTGTATTGCAACGGTCTCTTAGTAGTTCATATGTTAATCTGTCAAGGGGATTACCATACCGCTTGTACTTTTAGGATATTTCGCTTTGTCTTTTAGACATTTTATTAAGGCTGTACTGAACCACACCGGATATTTTTCTGAATGTGGTATTCGATATGACGTGTGCTTCTTAATTATGGGCAGAACTATGCCGTAAAACTTGTCAACTATGAAATCTACGTCGTAAAGTTCAGACCACACTTCGGACCACATTATATGCGTGAGTTCTTCGTTGATGGCGTCAAAGTCGCAATTGGAACAGTTTGGTGATGCTACACGTTTTGGACCTGCATGGTTTTATATTGCCCAGACATCCAATGAGAATCCAAACAAACCAAAGGCAGCGAAGCTTCGACCACCTTCACGTTATTAGTATCTATTATCTACAAGCACCAAGTCCAAAATACGATTATGTTTAAGATACAATTACATGTTAAGATTATTACGTCATTTCGTCTATGAACATGTTTTCGATAGCCCCGTTATTTGGCTTTGGGATGTATACATTTGGATCGCCTATAGTCTCCCAGACTATATTAGGAAGGTTGAAATCACCTACCAACAGGGTAAATCTTTGAGTATTCAACCAACTGGAGAGACCATGCGCGTTAATTCCTAAACAAAAAATCTGTCAACATCAGGGGGGCGCAAGATAAACACACAACTGTATACTTACTGACTGTTACTACAAATGCAAAATTAAATCGTGTCACTATAAACGCACACTACAGCATTTGTGTTTGTGTTCATCGCGTTTACGCATACCATCAAATTGTACACGTGTCGATACACTGATGGCGCTGCCTAAATGCGTAAGCAACGTAAGGCGTGGACTATGTCAATATTTTTATCGATAAACAAATCACCATAGTCCGCACAAGTTTTTATTTGATTATAAGTAATACATAGATAAATAATACCAAGGTGTTATTTGAAATTCTTTTTTTAAAGTATTTAGAAATGATCTTCGGAAAAAAACTTAGAAATTATTGAAAAATAAGTTTATTATTTTGCTACAGGTATTTATTTTACATTACGCAGGATGAAATTTAAAACATTTAACAAATCGAAATAGGAGGTTTAGTTAACTTATTTTAAAAATCAGATTTGTGAAAAGAAAAGTCCCATCAGTTTATCGTCTTAGATAGTGTTAACCAAGTTTTTGTTTTTATTATAAGGCTTCAATCACAAAACCGCTATTTAAAAAGTTGTTGATTTTCAAGAGTTATTAAATGAACTATCTAGAAAATATTTAATAAATTAGGAAAACAAAAAGTTTTACACTATATAATAGTTAAACAAAGTGTACTTTAAGCGGACAGCTGCTTAAAAATAAAACGTGACAACTAGGGCACATAACTACCTAGGGCTAAGTATTCCCCAGAAAGATGTTTTGCTTTAACTTTACATTACTATTCACCGAAAGTTTAACGATATGTGCGAAATATCAAAAGTTTTGGAATTGGTCTGCCTTCATCACATTCTATAACAAAGTGGTACAGTACAATTGATAGCCGACTTGGCTACACAAAAAAAAGCGTTAACTGTTTTAATACTTAGACTAGAGAGTAACCCTGACAAGAAATTATATTGTATATTAGTGATAGATGAAATGAAAATAAAACAATTGACGGAGTACCATGCAAGTTCTAAAAGACATTTTGGTTATATACATAATGTCTTTGGCTACTAGCAAGGTGTTCTGTCAATTGCTTAATTTTCGTTTCATCCATTACCAAGGACAATAAATTTTTTATCAGGTTTACTCTCCGCTCTCAATTTTAATACCGTCAGCGCTTCTTGAGTAAAGCCTGGTCGGCGATCGATGGTAGTGTACCACTTAGTCAAAGTACGTGGTGCAGGCAAACATGTTCCAAAAGTTTCACGTACATAGCGATAGGCTTTTGGTGAGTAATAGTTAAGTGTTAGGGCCTAGTATTTCTTGCAAACTTGTGTAGCCTGTTTATGCTATTGTTTTTATGTCAAGGCATTTTTTCATTTTAATTTTCCTTGGCCTAAGTGTTGGCTCGTACTCGCTGTGGGAGTAGGACTAGTTCGGGCTACATAAGGAATATTTTCGAACTGTGACTTTCGAGATAACTTACGGAATTTTGCCGGAACATCCAGCTTTCTTTTTTCGATGTAGACGATATTGTGCATGCACATGCACAGCAGGAATTATTTATTTTAGGGTGATCGTACACCCTAAAATAAATAATTTAGTAATTTACTTACGTAAGTCTAAAGATTCAAGCTATATATAGCTTTATATATATATATATATATATATATATATATATATATATATATATTTTGTTACGAGCTTGAGGTTCGTGACGCCTGGCGGTGGCAGCAACATCATTCCCCTCACGCTAGTGAGGTTGTAGCAGTTCGCGACCACAATAAAGGATACAGCCCTAGGTGCTATGGCTGTGGGGAAAGGGGCCATCTTCGATCCAGCTGTCCTAAGCGAACCCTAGAAAGGGAAGGTGAACGATCTCAGAAGGGAAGTGCGGCTAACATCACAACCCAGCAGCAGCCGGGATACGACTTTACTATCAGACATCGCAGCGGGAAATCTCATGGCAACGCAGATGCATTGTCAAGAAGACCTTGTCCTGAAGATCGGAAACATTGTACTAGGCAAGAGAATAAGGAAGTGGTATCCGTAAGGATGCTCAGGACAGACCACCTCAGCAACGAGTGGAAGGACAGCCTACGACATGCACAGCAGGAAGATCCGGACATCAAGCCGATTCTGGAATGGATGAAGGCCAGTGCTCCCAAGCCCAAGTGGAGCGACGTCTCAGCGATGAGTTCGACCACTAAAAGCTATTGGGCCCAGTGGGACAGCTTGCTGCTTGAGGATGAAGTTCTGTGCCGAAAATGGGAAAATGTTCGGGGAGACAGCTGTCATTTGCAAATGGTTGTCCCTAAAGCTAAAGTACTTGATGTTCTACAGCTGTACCATAATGATTATTCAGGAGGTCATCTGGGAGTTAAACGAACTCTACCGAATGGCGCTGTCGGTTGAAAGATTAGTGATGTCATTTTCTGGAAAGCTCTCTCCTCGCTCCGTTACCCGACACTAGATGGCGCTAGTGCCAGATGTCAGCTTAGCCGCGCAACACTGCCCCCTCCTAAGACATACTCGTTCCGAGCATTATCGGCCCCATAATAACGCGCCAGACGATCTACACGGACGATCTTAGGAGTCCCTCTTGCGCCCTTCTGTATCCGATAGGTTACATCGTTGATCCTGGTCACAATCCGGTACGGGCCGTCCCATTTAGCTTGAAGCTTAGGAGATTTCCCTTTGCTGCGGACCGGATTGTGCAACCACACTAGTGAACCTTTGTCGAACCCTTTGTTGTTCATTTTGCGGTCATACCGGGTTTTCATCTTTTCAGACATTTGCTGGCCCGATTGTCTGACGTGTTCATAAATGTCATTAATTTTGTTCCGCAAGTCATTTGCATAATCGGTTATACTGTGTGGGGCATCAGGTGGTATCCCGGTGATCAGGTCTATAGGCAGCCGTAATTCTCTTCCAAAGTTTGCGAAAGCTGGTGTCACTGATGTACTTTCGTGAACAACGCTTCGATATGACAGCAAAAACGGTTGTATGTGCTTATCCCAATCTCGTTGCCGGTTGTCTACAACTTTTGCTAGGTACCTCTCGAATGTCTGATTAAATCGTTCTACCATTCCATCAGATTGCGGGTGATAAGAAGTCGTTCTTGTTTTATGAGTACCCATAACTCGGCAAGTTTCCTGGAATATTTGAGACGCAAAATTCCTTCCTTGATCGCTGTGAATCTCTAAAGGTACTCCAAAACGACGGAAGATTTCATGAACTAGTTTATCTGCAACTGTTGAAGCTTCTTGGTTTGGAATGGCGAAGACTTCTGGCCACTTAGTGAAGTAATCCATCACAACCATGAAATACTTGTTACCGCTTTCACTCTCCGGAAACGGCCCCGCCACGTCAATGGCTATTCTCTCCCATGGTGCACCAACATTGTACAACTTCAATGCACCTCTACTACGAGTCTGAGGTCCCTTTACAGCCGCACAACTTGTACATTTGCGACACCAGTCCTCGACATCGTTTCGACAGTGGAACCAGTAAAACCGTTCTCGGATCTTCGCTTGTCTCGCCAAATTCAATCCTTCCCCGATCGCACCTTGCAGCGCCTATAAATACACATTAGTACCGAATCATCCAGAACATTCAAGTAAATACGCGCACCAATCAACAAAGTGCTGAAAGTTCGAGAGTCAGCTTCCAGAAGCTTAGTTCTTCGTTTCGATAACAGATGGCGCTATCGGCTGAAAGATTAATGATGTCATTTTCTGGAAAGCTCTTCCCTCGCTCCGTTACCCGACACTAGATGGCGCTAGTGCCAGATGTCAACTTAATAAAATGATGTCAACCTAAAAAATTTTTTATATATATATGATAAAGACACTTATTTAGTAAAACATGAGTAAATAAAGTACAATGGTTAAAAAACTTAAAACGAGCTACATGTTTTGACATTTATGGCGTACAAAAATTATACTACATTGAGTTTACAATTACAATAATAGGTATATAAATATATGAATAAAATTTGATAGGTTAATGCTTTTGTAAACTTAATAAAATATTTTCAAGTAGAATAATATTTGTGTCAAAGGTAATAATAAAAATATTTAATCTAAATATAATTACAGCCAAACATTACCTCCCACAAGTTCAAGGTCGGTTCAAACAATTAGGTCGTAAGATTTTTTTTAATGCAATATTATATAAAATATTTCACATTTAGTCTAAGGCCCCTTACATTTTGATA